GGCCGGGCCTCCCCGGCCCTTCCCGCCTCCTCCCCGCCACGGCCGGCCCTCCGTCCGCACCGGTTCCACACGCCCTCCCCATCCTGCCCTCCCTGCTCCCCTTGTCCGCACCGCCCCCCACACCCCTCCTCGGACGGCCCCTCACCAGGCCTGGCTCCCGCACCCCTCTCCTCGTCCCCCCCATCCTTCTTCGGGGCTCCCCCCACACTGTGTCCATCTCTTTTTGTCTTCCTGTTTCTTTAGATCCTACCAAAGCTAGACCTTCCCTCCCCAAACTGCTGGACAGCCCCGGCTGGTCGGTGAGCATCTGCTACCCCTCAGTAGGTCGGGCAGAGCGGAGAGTGGAGTCACGGAGGTGCTTGGTTTGGGCGAGTGCTCCAGGCAGAGTCGAGTCCAAACCCCCAAGAAGAAGCTTTAGAGTGAGTCAACATGCTCTTACATCAGCAGACAGCTCATCTGATCCCTGACTTGTTGCAAGATGCAGGCTGGGTTTTTCAGGAGAGCTCAGCTCCCTTTTAGCTCCCCGAAGGCTGTGCGCACAGAGGTGTGCAGGCAGCTGCACACTCTCCACCAGAAGGCCAAAGTGGCCAGCCTTGGTCCAGAAGCTGTGTAGCCGTGTTAGCACAACACTGTGCCCAATTCACTGAGCCTCAGCATCGCTTTTTTTCCTTGGCGCCTAAATGGCAGCTGAACTGTTCTAACAATCTGACCCAGTCCCCTTTTAAAATAGAAGGTAATAAAGAGTGGAGCTTGTTCAGCATACTGAGCTCCAGCTCTGGGGATGGTCCAAGCAGCAGCTGGAGCAATTTCTTTCACTGTCTTCATAAATATTTTAATGTACCCGATTTAAAAGCAAATAAATTGTCTTCACCACAAGATGCAGTCCTCCTCCTGGCCATTTTCACGTTTATTCATATATTGTATGGCTCAAAAATCCACCCGGGTCCCAGAACAGCATTAAACTTCTAAGGCCTAATGCTGAGATGGACAGAATACCTGCAAGTCTTGTTCCTGTCCGTGGGGATTGGGCTTTAAATCTCCCCAAATCAGTACCTTAAACAGCTCAGACTTCTGCAATTATATTGATGGGAACATTAAAATCTGTGTCAAAGGATGACGCTGCAGTCCTGCAAATTTAAGTTTTTTGTTGGATGTAGTGGCTTTTTAATAGATTGTGAAGCAAGCAATATAAGAAACAGGTTTTACAACTTGTTTTAAATATAAGTAAGCTTACTTCTCCTTTCACCCATGTCTTCCCTTAGGCTTTTTTATTGCTTTCTGATAAAATCTGCAAAAATAGAAATTGTATATGTTTTTCCCTTTTTAAAGTTTCAGGTGCAAATGTCTAAGCGCATGCTTTTTCAAATCTCCTGTTTCTTTTGTATATTTGACTGCTAAAGACAGACCTGTCTTACTTCAAACCCAATTGACGGTTTTGCCTGACCTCAAGATTTTGTTTGTGACACTAACTGGGCACCTTCATAACAGTCTTGGAGGCTGTTGAAAAGAGAGGCCAGACTGGGCCTTTGCACTCTGGCAACTGAACTCAGAGCTATGGAGTTCGGAGGAAGTTTGGGACAAATTAGTAGGGCAAAGAATGTTAACTGCTGCCCATTCTGCACAGTGTCCTCTGCATGAGACCTTGTTCTGTCGGTCCTGTACCTATCATTACTACCATGTTCATACACAATAAACACAAACATACATGTTGTGCTTTAGTAGTCCTGCCTGTAGTTCAGCAAGACTGAACCAGGTTAGTATTTGGATAGGAGACCTTCCAGGAAAGTTTACTTGCTGTAGGAAATAGTGTTCACTTACCGAGTAATATTTTTCCAATACTGAAGTCAGTCTTGAGTCATCTGGTTCTGGGGATGATGAGCTGTAGAAATTCCAGCTTTGAATGGAATAAAAGCAAGTTCTTGAGCATTTTTGGTCATGATGGGGCTTTTGGCAGTTTGCTGCAGAGTAGGAGAGTGTCCTGGCCGAATTCCAACCTGGGTGATTACATTCAGCTGACTGAAAATGAGCAGTGGCGATTGCTGCATTTCACTATTGGGCAAAGTGATTTCCACACATGGGCTTAAATTTGTAAAGTGACTTAGGGTAAAGCAGAATGAAAAGGACTTACAGAAATGTCCCTTTAACCCTCATAGGTTATTCTTGAAGGCCTTGTGAGGCTTGTCAGTCTGCTGTACATTACTCTAAATGCCAGTGATCCAGCTGCTGGGGCATTGCTTGGAATGGCTGTACCACATCACATGATGGTCTTCAGAACAGTGGTGCTTTTTGTAATGGCGCATACACATTCCCACACATCAAGCAAGGAAACAAACAGAATGGGAGAAAAGGAAATAATAAAAGAACATTCAAAGTTTTCTTTGTTAGAAATTAAAATACTGTGACAGTGCTGTTCAGGCTGATCCGTGGTTGGTGTTTTGTTTTCAAAAAGGCTAAGTGATCCTTTGATTCAAAAAGGTAGAGAAGCACTGATGTAAGATATAGAAGGCAACATGGAAGTGTATTTCCTGTTATATATGTACCCCAATGTATAACAATTTTTTTCTCTCCCTGAC